CTCAGCCAACAAGGCGGCTATTTGCACTTAGTGTAAATAGACACTCCGTAATTTGTAAATTCTGACTCAATAAGACACAACGTGCCACCTACAGTATGTGCTTACTGTGACATTTTAGAACCGAAATTTTAGTTCAATTATACTCCATCCATCAAATTAGCAATTAGCAATCCACAAACACACTGTCGTAATCTTCATAAATTCGTAATCTTCATAACTTCGTAATCTTCATAATTTCACAGTGACGCATTTTTGGTCCTAGCACATGTAAATGAGAAAAGCGGGCATTTGTTTAGTTGCTGCCACTGGCACAAACTCGCCACCCTCCAGTACTAAAATTCAGCTCTGCCTGTAGAAAACAGGATTATTGTGCATGCTATCGGCCTCTTGTGATGTAACATATGAGCCTGTGCTGATAATCAGGACCTGGGACCACGGCCTGGCTCTCTAATTGAGCCACGGATAGCAGGCTCTTTCCGTTCACAATACGAGGAACCATATCCGCCAACTCTGACTTAATCAGGTGGTGAAAAGAGAGCTGGCAGGAGGGCTCTGATTAAAATATTGTTTTTTAGCACTGCCTGGGAGAGCCAGGCTCCTTATTAAAAATTGATCCTCAAGCTGTGTCGCCTTGCGTTTCTGCCTTGCTGAAGAATTCATTACCTCTGCCACGCACCATGTCGCCTGCCTGGTATTCTTCATGTCACTGCACCCCTCCGTTACCCACACCCCCCTTTCGTTTATCAATTCTGAGATGCAAACAAACAAATATTCCAGAGGGAGGAGAGAGGAAGAGAAAGACGAGGAGGGAGGTTGAAACAAAAACACGCTGCCCCAAGGCCTTCTCAGCACGAAGTACATGACGTTTTATCACCGCCATGAAAACCAAATGCTGTTTATTCTTATTTAACCTCCTTTTATAAGTTCATCTCTTTATGCCTTATGAGTAGCCCTCTTTCTTCATTTCATTACTTCATTGCAAGTGTTGTTGTTGTTGTTGTTTTTTTGTTACCTATAGAGGAAATCTTTCATATTAGCTATAAATCAATTGATTAACTGATAGCTAATAGAAACAATCAAAATCACAAATGAGACAATTCTCTCCCTTGGACAACAATAAGATTGAATGGAGGCATTTGCTGAAGTCTCCGGTTTGTCCATTTTTTTCTCTCTCTCTTTATTGGAATCTCTTTTGAAAATTATATCATACACGACTGTTTGTACAAACTGCAAAAAAAAAAAAGTCAAAACAATATAACAATATACAAAATATTACAAAAACAATATATACTCCAATATTTCTCATTAGTTGCTCCAAGATCAAATTATTAGCTGTGCTATTTCACATTCATTTGAATGTTAGTATTAATTAAATGTTAATTTAATTTAAAACCGCCATGAAAACCAAATGCTGTTTATTCTTATTTAACCTCCTTTTATAAGTTCATCTCTTTATGCCTTATGAGTAGCCCTCTTTCTTCATTTCATTACTTCATTGCAAGTGTTGTTGTTGTTGTTGTTTTTTTGTTACCTATAGAGGAAATCTTTCATATTAGCTATAAATCAATTGATTAACTGATAGCTAATAGAAACAATCAAAATCACAAATGAGACAATTCTCTCCCTTGGACAACAATAAGATTGAATGGAGGCATTTGCTGAAGTCTCCGGTTTGTCCATTTTTTTCTCTCTCTCTTTATTGGAATCTCTTTTGAAAATTATATCATACACGACTGTTTGTACAAACTGCAAAAAAAAAAAGTCAAAACAATATAACAATATACAAAATATTACAAAAACAATATAAACTCCAATATTTCTCATTAGTTGCTCCAAGATCAAATTATTAGCTGTGCTATTTCACATTCATTTGAATGTTAGTATTAATTAAATGTTAATTTAATTTAAACTAATTAAATGTTAGTATTCTCATAAAAAGACAGACATTACAAAGGTCTCATTGTGATATATCTTAGATAACATTCATCCCATTTTTATTCCTAGAAACATCTGAGAAGAAATTGGAACATAACTTAGATTCCATTAAATCTCCTGAGCTATGAAAGAGCAGCCTCTGAGCACTATAAATGTCCCCTGGATTCTCTCATTTTCCTGTTTTTCTCTCTCCTTCTATCAGACTTTGTGCTGGGATGTTGATTAAGAACTAATGCAAATGATGGAGCCTCAGCGTCAACCGCCACAGGAAATCAATATCCCGCAAACCCCTGCTCCTTCCCCCTCATTCATCCGTACCGATAACTAGAGCCTCCTCAAACTAAACAATTAAAGACTCAACCTTAAACTCATTACCCACACCGCTGAACAAGAAAGCCTATTCCAGGATGACATTGAGTGCTGTTTGCTTCTCATTGTGAGCCTATTTGATATTCAGCGCTTGTCTGAGACCTGTTTAAATACTCAGATTAATTGTGTTCATGTCCACTTGTCTTTGCTTACACAGGTGTGCCTCCGTGATTGATTTGCTGAGAGCTTTGTATTTCGTTTCCAATAATTTAGCCAACCAATTAGAACAACCTATAAGAGTACATGTTGGTTGAATGACTGGAAGCAAAGACCTTAACTGGAGTCAGTAATGAAAGGAATTTAAAATAATCTTTACCTTAACTTTTTATTGCAGATACTTAAATGATAATGAAAATTGAATCTAGTGTTGATGTGTACACCTCGTGTCTAATAAAGTAACAATATGAGTGCACTAGTAAAAGACAACAAGGTTGCTGTTCTTAGAATGCCTATATTACTTTATGACTTTATGACTTCACAGTGAAGACTGAAGCTTCCATTCATTAGAGACACATCATTGCATGATGACATTTCCTTCTTTTCACTGGCAGGCAGTTTTAATTACCTTCTGGCACCTTTAGCGAATCTACATTGGCAATAGTGACAGTGAATCCTCTGTTAACACCCATGTCTCATCTTGTCTATCAAGATTATTACATAAAAAGACCTTTGAACCCACAGAATGGTAAAACCTTACTTTTTTGAAGTCAGTTTGCCAGTGATGCACTAGATTCATATTGCAATCTGTCTCCAAAGCTTCTCATTTTCACTCGTATGAGTCATCTGTCTGGGGTCTTATATGTGATTCTGATAAATGGGGTTTGGGTAGTCTAGAATGAAGTTTTTGGTGCACTTCTGCTGCACATTTGGTGGTTGAATTACCACCGGATCTGTTGTTCAGTATGTATCCAAGAAGTGAGTCAATAAAACCGGGATAAGTTGTTAATGCCATAATAAGGATTTTGTCATTGTGGGAATGACTCTTGCCTGTTTAAATGACATCTTCATTCATTGCTGTACAACAAAGCTCTGGAATTGGATATTTGATTAAAAAGTAGTTTTAAGTAAAAGTTGTTTATATTTAAAAAATGCAAATTGATTTTTCATTGCAGTCTCTTTCTGCTTGTATTTTGGGGTTCTGCTCTGAATAATTGAAACTTGTTACATGTGTGCATGAGACTTGCATCATGCAGTCACTTGTGCTCAGACAGCACATGAGCAGGTGGTAATCGCAACAGTGTCCATTTAGATTACAGTGTTAAACGCTGCTCTGATGGATTACATTTCATGGCCCATTTAGCTTATGGCTGGCAAGAAAATGCAAAAAGGCAAGAATTTTTCCCACATTTGCTGATCTGGCCTCATTTTAGGCATCACAAAAATAGCATTTCACAAAACTCAAGCCAATCTACCAACGGAAATACTGAAGAAGTCATTCCCAGATTTGGTCCACCTACAACCCCTAACTGTAAACATGATACCACACAAAAATTAGGTGAGCATCGGAAGCAGCAAAAAACAAAAAACAAAAAAAAACAAAGCAAAGCAATCTCCTGTAGGGTAGCGTCTGTAAATTAGCAAACTTAATGAGCCAGTGACAGCATGACGGATCTTTAGCATCTGGGCTGGGGTGACAGTGATTGATAGATGTTGGATGTCTGCGGGCTGATCTGATGACTGATTTATGCCATGCTCGGCGCTGATTACATAAATGCCATTAGAGCTCCCAATGGCAGCGCTGGAGTGCGGCGTGAGCCAGACGTGATGGAGGAGAGGACAGTGACCGACCTGACACAACTCAACCTCCCGCTAAGTGCCCCCAATCCACAGTGACTTGAGATTATTGTATCATTTTTTAAATGATTGTTTTAGTATTTGATTATCTGTCCTCTGATTTCCATCATTTTTCATTGTCTTATACAGAAAGAAAGCAGCACTCTCCGTGATAGCTTTTTATAGGACTGATATGCAAGGCAAACAATCTTTTTCCAGTCTGGGAACTCAGATGCCTGTTTCAGGTCGTAAACCTCAGCATCTAAGCATATAGGCTATGCGCTGGTAATGACATTTAAAGTAGAAGTTTGCATTTGTTTAAAATTGTAATGAAGCTAGTCATGTGATAGACTGCGAAATAAGGGAATTTTCCTCTCTTAAAAAACAAACAAATGGGAAGGCATATGAAAAAAGTAATGAAAATATAATTGAAAGAAACAACAGTTCTAAAGCAAAGAACAACTGGGTACAAAGAAATGATCTTTTCAAACTATGGGTTTTAAACTCTTTGAGCCCCCTTTATGGATAGATGTATAGAATGGAATCCCAGTAACATATTGTAAAAAAAATTTGTGTATTTTAAGCTTGACAAAAACCAAAACAACTGTCTCATACATATACAGACAGACCTGACTCTAGCAAAACACCAAAGGAAGGTAAGGTAACAATATATAGTAATGTTCATGTAATCTCTATTTACACAAACATGCACATTTATAACTAAACAAATACACAAATTAATCATAAAAACTGTTGCCAATGATGTGAACATGTGAATGAGGTACTGTATACCACTTTTTGTCTAAAATGTCCATTATAGTCAATTTTCCTGCTTAGCGCTACCGGACTCCAGTCCTGTAGGTGGCGGGAATGGACCTTTAAGTTTGGTTTGCCAACTGCCATTAAAGACAAGAAACCACAGAGGAAGAGTATGCCCGTTGTTACTGCTAGTACCTGTAAATACTGCAGTTTTCCCATTCAGAGCTGAATTGGACTCAGGTAAAACAGCTAAACCTGTATTAATTAACAAGAAGTGTGCATCACTTTGTGTGTTTAATATGCTTTGACCTGTGTGCTTATTTTCACTTAATGTAAAATATTGTTTCAAAAATGGTTGACTTAAGACCAATTACGTTGATGATTAGGTTTTTATTATTATTTCCTCGAAGGGTGGAAAGTAAACTACACTAGGTCAACCAGGCCAGAAAATCTGTAAATTCTCTATCCCTTCACATCTTCTTAGAATCTGTTTTCCACAATAGCAAACCTGCGTCACTAAATGACTCCGCTTGCTTCATAAAATATGTATGTCTGTACAGGGAGGAAAAATGCTAATAACTTTTGGTGGCCGAATTAGATTTGGGATCGGAAGCAAGGAAGGAAGAAATGCATGAAAGAATTTAGCTGTGCAACTCATAAATAGTTTACCAACCTAGTGAAGATTCATCAAGTTGCATAAGAGATAAATTATATTTTCTGGCTGTGCATTCTCACCCTCACACCGCCTTACCACCAGAGGAGTGAATTGAATAAAAGATGAGGGATGGAAATTGTGTCTGCGCCGCGATACCAAAGCTAACTGCGGTTTATACCTGCCGACGCTCGTGAAATCCCGATATCTATGATAGGCCACATTTGGAATGGGTGTCACCGATCCTATCGCCTTGCCGTGAATGAGGAAATATTGACAGCAATACAAAATGCCTTCTATGTGCACGGCAACACTATAGCATATCCTCAACCTCCAGCAAAGCTGACATCTGCTAGTTTTTGCATTCTGAAATGGAGGATGTGGAAGAAATACACCAGCAATGGTTTATCGGATCTCTATTTAACATAAGGCAGGCCGCTGATGAAATTATTTCTAGCACAAACCGAGAGACATGCCTTTTTGTTATTCTGGAGGAGTTAGAAATGGCTTTAAAAATGCAGTAAGCTGGAGACCAATTCCCTCGCTAGATGCCATTCTGTGTTCGCAGCGATGAAGGAAAACTAATTTTCTCAACAGGAGACTTTGACTTTTTGCAAAAGTTAGAGAACGTTGTGAAAAACAGATGACCTCCGCCTTAAGCATTTTCTGTTATTTTGGTGCACGCTTTACACAGCCAATAACACACCAGGTGCGTCAGTTACAAGAGTATTCCCCTCCCTGCATGTAGTTAAAATCCCAGACTTCGCTTCTCCCACAAATTTGTGCACATGCCTGCATGTTGTTTGTTGGCAACATGTCAAAAAACAACATAAAGGATGAACTTTCAGTAAATTTTACACTGATTTGCGAAGAAAACAAACAAATTCATTGTAATTCTTTCTTTAACAAATTTTTAATCAGTCCACAGAATTGCAATGCTGGAAACATTTGGTTAGATGTACATGTACTACATAGGAGGTGTTTACACAACACAATTTTTTATTAAAAGCAGAAAACTTCATGCTTTTTGGTCATTCATTTATGATGTTTTATTAACAAAGTTCGGGAGGAGGACGTTCAGATAATTAACCTAATTAACACGAGAAGAGCACAATCAGTAATCAACCCAATTAACAAGATAAGAGGTGATAAGAGATACCTCTGTTCCTTGACAGTTTTCTAGCATCCCCCCGCCAGCCCTTCTCCGCACTTACCACTATTTCTGTCCTAACCTTTGGGGGGAGCGCTCGGTGTTTGGGCAAATACCGAGCTCGGAGCCCTCTTCCCGGACAGAGGGGGAGTGCTCCGGGTTTGGGAAGAATTACTGAGCTCGGAGCCCTCTCCCCGGACAGCACGCCAAATACGCATAACCTTTACTCTGTTTATTATATGTAAGTGTGAATGCGTGAATTACTACAATTGTTGTTGTGCAAATGTAGCCTTAGATAAAGTTGCAAAAGAACAGATTTTCAATGTGTGGACATTTTATATGTTTTGTTTATAGCGCATTCATACAATGTAAAAGACCACATACTGTGTTTAGCATGCAGTGACAACTATAACAGTTTATGTCTAGTCTGTGTAGTGTGCACTTGGTTCCTTATAGGGTAAGTCATTAATAAAGCATTTGATGGGATACTAACTGTGGCCTAAGTGGACAGGAGGTGAGATGTAAAACTTCTTCAGCAATTTTTGAAGAAAACTAAATCATGAGGGGTTGAAGTCAATTGCATTTGAGTTAGTTGTGGTCTCAAGTGTCAAAAAAGATTTAGATTCTGTGTTGTCAAACAGTCATCCACTTCCCATAGCTGACTCTTTGAAAGATATCCCTGTCTTTGAAAGCATTACTCTGTTTTGCAGTGGCTAGACGTGGTATCTATTGTGACAGAGCTCTTCATTTATCCAGTCTGACACAAAGCAGTGGCTTATGCCCAATGGGAGTCCTCTGGTCTGGGAAAGCTGAGATGATTGGTTGTGTGTCATTTAGTGATCAAAGAGAAAGACACTTTTAAATCATCCTCCATTTGGCCATAGATTACTCAGCGAGGCTGCGTTCAGACAGAAAATTGAATGTAATATGTGTATGAGACTAATGGTTAAACTCTGCACAAGGCCGACCACCTCTTTTAATGCATTTAGTTTGATTAATAGCTTTATAACTATACACTACATGCCAGTCTCTGCTTCTGATCTAATTGGTTTTATTTGAAGTGGTGTGTTTTGAGTTGATGCTGCCATTAGAGTTTCGCTTGTTTTGAAATGGCAAACACAGACAAAAATAACTGCAGTGCTATTAAATACTGAAGTCCAAGGCATTCATAATATCTCCATTAATATTAGGTTAGAATAACTGTAAGCCCACACTGTTCACATATATATGTAATTTGTCTCATAAAGTGTCTGACAAGCTACAGAACATGAATGACTTGCATTAGTGCTCAACATGAACATAATTTCACATAAGCGCAGTCTGCGGTCTACAGTGTATCCATAGTCTGGGTTTCTTCCATCCGGACTGTGAATAATTTTTCATAAATGTATATAATTATAAACATATATGTACATAGAACTGTATTTTATGTTTAAAGCTGCAGTCCGTAAGTTTTGCCTCTTTGTCACCATCTCTGTTTGAAA